AGGATACAGAACCCACGATAGCTGCTAAAAATATACAAACCATGCAGTAACTGCTTTATAGTTTTTTTTTTTTTTTTGGTTTATTGCTTTTTATTACGTATAGGTGGAGAAGTCAAAGTCACTTTCAAATCTAACTAGTCTCGGCAGCATTTATTACTTATAGAAGGCCCCTGCTTCTTTTCATAGTTATGTTGCAGCTTTGCGATCGATGGCTTTTGTATTTCTATATGGGATGGTTGATTTAGGGGTTATTTAAGGCCCAGGGCAAACGTCAAACTTCACATGAGACGAACTAAACTGCAAGTTGAGTAGATCTAGAAGAGTAAAGTTCGACCTTTGGGTCAAACATCAAACTTCATTCGAATTTAGATCGACCAACACGTTCCATCCGTCTTCTTCAGACGGACGAACTCAGTTGAGTCGAACGTCGAACTTATCATGGACTTAATTCGCTTGGTTTAGTTCGTCTCATGAGGAGTTCGACGTTTGGCCTGGGCCTAACGCTGGGAAACTCGCATTGTCTGGGTAGTAACTGTGCTTTGGTGAAGGCATTCATTTGTTTATTTCTTTTGAACACGCTATTAAGTACAATATTGGTGAATGTAACACGAAGAAATTCCTACTAATTTAGTCAGAAGCAAGAATTGTCGTGCTGTACTATATTTAATCATACGCTTTTTATATTGGTTATGAGATTTCATGAGCCGCAGGAAATTATGTTACATGTAATACATTCAAACTGAGTAAAGCCAGAGCAACTGCATTCCTGTTTTATGTTTTATAGTTAAACTTAAAATATACATTTTATAACTTATAGCTAGACTACAAAAAGATGCATAAAGCGTTTCATGTCTTATCGATGTTTAAACAATTTACACTTTGTATGCATTAACTGTCTATTCGATTCATTTTGTACTCACGTTTATTAATCTTATTCCTCAATTAAATTATTTTAAAGAAYGAAATCATTTATGACTGATTTCATGCTGCTCTACATCAACATCATGGAAGGCGGTTTCTCGAGACAAAGGGAACTCTGAAAACGCTTCAAACGAAACTATGGATCAATTCTTTAAAAACTTAAAATATTTGGTTTGTGGCCAGGCATGGTTAAAAACTTGATAGTTTTTAAGGCCAGTAGTAACATATTTTAATCAAATCTTTAAAAACTATCCCGTTTAAAAATATATGTGGAACTTCAAATAAGTAACTGATTCTTTCAATAGGCCCTTTGCACGACCCGGTCACGTGGTACAAAATCAGCCATGATGGGACGCAAATTACACAGTGGGACATCCAAAGCAAAAGAATGTCAAGCTTCACTGGTGGGGGTTGCTCTGTTTTGGAAGCCCCACTGTGTAACTTAGGTCCCTACATGGCTGATTTTGTATCACGTGACCGGGTCGTGCAAAGGTGCTATTGTTGTTCCAGTCCAGTTGCATCAGTATGATGACTTTAACATCTTCACTTTCGATGCGGTGTTCATGCTGAGAGGATTTCTCAAAAACGTTTCTCCCCTCCACTTGTCCATCAGTGACCTTCTTTTATCTATGACATTCTGCGAGAAGAATCAAGACCTACATTAGCGAAAGCCGTCTCCTTTTTGGAGTAATTCATCAGAAAATCCGAAAAGGCAATCTTGTGGAGATACACAATGCATTTGCACACCAATCAAGCTCAAGCATTGTCGATCACATTTTCTAAATGGCCTTATAAAGAAATGAGAAACGACCACGACACCATGATCAGAAATTGGCTTCCACCTTTCGACCGTTCAGCGGTGTGGTTGGTCGGAAGTTGTCACATTCAGATCCTTTTGCAGACGTGAGTTTCGTAAAAGCCAAAAGCTGTCAATAAAGATAACAAAAGACAGAAATTATTCACCTTGACCTGTACAATCTGACTTATCAAACCGAACTAACTAACCAACGGACTGACTGAAATACTGACTAGTGACTGACCGACCGACTCTCTGAGTAGGACTGACTAACGGAATGACTCGCAAACTGACAGACTCGAGAACTATTTCAAGATCGAATGGCAACAACTGAAACCATTGTTTCCATTTGTTTGAAAGGAAATAAGTACTGTTAATTACTCAAAGAAATAAGTGCTGTTAGTATAATTTCCAGAGGTGAATATAAGAATTGGACATTCTGATTGGTCGAAAAGCTCATCATGTGACGTTATATTCATCCCGCTGGACCTTGGTTACTTATCTCGCCATCTTTGCCATCTCGGCAAGTAAACATGGTGGACAGTTGCTG